AAAAAAATCAATAAAATGTATTTAAAAAAAATGTTTGACCAAATATTGTAGGCTCATTTTTAAGTTGATAATTTCGTATGGCCCCTGAATGATATTATAAATACCCAAATGGCCCTTGGCAGATAAAAAGGTTCCCCATCCCTGCTTCTGGAGATATGATCTATCAATAGAAGAACTACAATTAACACCAAGTATATTTTATGAAAATTTACAAGTGAATGACAACGTATGTTCTCTCACTGATGTTTTTTGGCGGTGTGGTGAAGTATTAGCTAACCCAATTGTGAAAGAGGTCATTAGTGCAAAGACCAAGAGGCACACGCGGCACCCCAGAACGGAATCTTACTGGACGCTGCTCCCTGGAAGCTGCAATTGTTTCAAAGTCCAGAAAAAGAGACTTTAAATTCTGGGGGAAACCTAGGACTTAGAAAGGTAAATTTTGAAAGACACAGGGTCTGGAATAGTTTATAGTATCAGGCAGAACATGTACTTCTCTTGGAAAGTTACAAGAAGTAACTCAGTAACTTAACAAGACCTATTAAATTTTTATTTTATATTCCACCTAGATCCATGATTCATACTGGTTACTTCAGAGAAAAATCTACACCGCCATGGGTTCATTCACGGGGCAACGCAAGATTCTGACAGTGGTGTTGGTCTTTCTGGCTTCGGTGAGTACTACCCTTGCTCCACTACCTCTTGTCACTGGCTCATTTGTTCTCTCCTGGTGCAACCTCAAGTTTGAATTGATTACTGCCTGAAATCCGGGAGAGGGGACTGAGGGAGCTCGCAGTTTCCTTCCGTCTGCCTCAGTGGGACTCCGGCGGCAGCAATTGCAAGGTGGAGCCTCACCCTGAGGAGCAGGGTCAGTGGTTGGGTGCTGGGGTCTATTAAGGAGTTAGAAACACAAGCCCAGAAGAGATTGTTCCAGGGAAATCCCAGTGGAGGGGAAGGGGAGCAATTCACATTGTTTTTAGCTCTCTAACCCTTTCTGTCACAGTGTATGAGATAGAAGTCTGTGGTGTCCAGTCCTGCTTTTTAAGCACAGAAAAGGTCAGGGATTCAAGAAAAAAATCCCTGTCCAAAAGGCGAGTGGGCAATTGGCTGGAGTGACCTTTGTGGTGTTTTGGAAGAACTTGGCGGTGACAAGAAGCTATGAATACCTGTAAGAGAAGGCATTTCCCTGTTTGCCCATAGATCATAACTGGAATTTGGGGGTTTAATGTAGCTATAGGTGCATTTTGTTTGGCCTGTTTCAACTCATGCTTAAAACAATTGAATGGGTTATTGATATTTAAACAGTATGATATTTCACATAAAAATATGTATTTCTGGTTTCTCTTAAAAGTGGTTTAACCTCAGGACAGAAAGTTCACAAATTGGTCTTTATTCTAATAGCATGGAGGGGTTTGGCATGGAAACCCTAATTTTTTAATGTTGACAAAAGAAACGTCCAATCCTGTAGAGAATTTTTCTGAATTTATTTGAGCCAAACTGACAATTGCAGGAAGCAAAAATCTCAATGGATTGAGAAAATGCTCCAGAGAATGGCCGTTTTATAGCTTACTTTATACATTAGAATCAAAGGAGGAGATGTTACATGAAAGGGGGGAGGATTTACATGAAATTCATTGGTGGTAAATTAGGGAGGTGGAAGAAATCAAAGCAGGGAAATCTCTGAAACTGGATAAAGAGTACAACAGAGCTCAACTGGCGTGGCTCAGTGGTTGAGCGTCAACCTATGAACCAGAAGGTCACAGTTTGATTCTTGGTCAGGGCATATGCCCAGGTTGCGGGCTCAATCCCCAGTAGGGGTTGTGCAGGACGAAGCCAATCAATGATTCTCTCTCATTGATGTTTTTATCTCTCTCTCTCCCTCTCCCTCCCTCCCTCCCTCTGTGAAATCAATAAAAAAATATTTTTTAAAAAAAGAATAAAATGGAGAGACACATACTTCTTTTAAATTGGAGGATACAGGATGGTTAACAATGAACACTTATAGCATGTAGAACATGGTATTTGGGGAACAAGATAACAATGAGGGGTTCTGCCTGGCTGGTGTGGCTCAGTGGTTGAGCATTGACCCATGAACCAGGAGGTCACGGTTGGATTCCCATTCAGGGCACATGCCTAGGTTATGGGAGGGCAGTGAGCAGGAGGCAGCCAATCAATGATTCTCTCTCATCATTGCTGTTTCTATCTCTCTCTTCCTCTCTCTGAAATTAATAAAAATATATACAAATATTCTTTTAAAAAACAACAACAACAAAATGACAATGAGGGGTTCTGTGGTCTCAGTGGTATGAGGTTGTACTCTGAGGGTCTGGAAAAACGGGGTTGCTTAAACATTCAAAGGGTATGTTATTTTAATTTTATTTCCCGTTAATCCTCATCCGAAGATATTTTCCCATTGGCTTTAGAGAGAGTGGAAGAGAGAGGAAAAGGAAGAAACATCGATGTGAGAGAAACACATCAATTGGTTGCCTCCTGCACATGTCCT